CTGGAGACGACAGCAGCCCGCCGACACAATGCGTCCCATTCAATTTCCAAGAAATGTTGGGAGAGGAATGTTTTGGGGAGTTCGTCAGGGAGAGAGGCAAGCACAGCACCCCATGTGGAAAGAAGATGCACCAAAAGGGAGCCTCAGGTCAGGACACCTCGGTCCTTTCTTGGCTTTGCAGGGTGACTTCTGAGAGTGGTTTCTAGGAGCTGACACTTAAAATGGGTTTTTGCATTTCCTGCCTCTGCCAAATGCAATTCTTGTCTGACTTTAAAAACAATTTTTTTTGAAAGAGATCGGGCAGGGGGCCAGTTGGTTATACAAGGCAGAATCCAATGGGGATGATGTTCTTGGTTTGTACCCTTTCAAGTGGGCTGGTGGAACAGGGGTCACATAACTGAGTCCTCCAACTACATGCACACATAGAACTAGTATGTGAGAGAAAGGGTTTGAACCAAGTTGCCTGAAATGCTAGCTTTCTATTTGCAGGGAGTTGCATTAGATGGCATTGCATTCAAACCATGACAATTCCCCCCTACCCCAGTCCAATGTTCCCTTCTAAGCTGTGGAGTCTTGTGAGCAACAATCCTACTTGGTGAGCTTCTGGCATTAAAGTTGTGAGCGAGCAATGTGGCTGCTGCATAAATTAGTTTACTCTGGAGCCCTCCTCCCTGAGCCAAGACAAAAATATGTGAGCTGGAGGCTAAAAAACTGTGAGCTAGCTCACACTAACTCAGCTTAGAGGGAACACTGCCCCAGTTTGAACTGCTTCTGCACTGGGTGAGTTTTGCCACTCGATTCTGGGGACTTTTATGAAACTGCCCCCACCCTGAAGGCATTCTTACAAACGTTTGTTTGCAAAACCCAGTTCTGTTTGCAGATTGTCTTCACTAGTCAGGCCTTTCAGTAGCTGATCAGTGGCAGGGAACAAGCCAGGATCAGGCCATGGCACTTTTATTTGTACATTACATAAAACCATGCTTTGAGATCCTGATTTGACAAACCCTACGGAGCACGGTTAGTGAAGCAACCCACATTGGGATGTTGCTCACACTAAGCACAGTTAGTTAAATTAAACCAGAGAGGTAAGTGTTGTGATTAGCGCCCTGGACTAGAATCAGGGGAAATCAAACCCACCTCTCTGCCATGGAAGCTTGTTGGATGACCTTGAGCCAGTTGCTCTCTCTAAACCTAACCTACCTCACAGGGTTGTTGTGAGAATAAAATACAGGAGGGGAGAATGATGTAAGCTGCTTTGAGTCCCCATCAGGGAGGAAAAGGGAGAGGGTATACATGACTAAATAAATTAGTTAAACCATGGTTTCTCATTAGGTCTGAACTGAGCCAGTGCATCTGTTCCAGCTTCCTCCCAAGCATTCCTTTTGTGGGCAGAATATCACGTTTGCACAGAAATTTCTGTTTAAAAAGAAGAGGAGATTGGATTTATACCCCGCCCTTCACTTGGCGTCTCACAGCGGCTTACAATCACCTTCCCTTCCTCTCCCTACAACAGACACCCTGTGAGGTAGGTGGGGCTGAGAGAGCTTTAGAGGACTGCTCTTGAGAGAACAGTTCTGCGAGATCTTTGACTGACCCAGGGTCACCCAGCAGCTGCATGTGGAGGTGTGGGGAATCAAACCTGGTTCTCCAGATTAGAGTCTGCCAATCTTAACCACTACACCAAACTGGCTCAAACCACAACTCCAAAAAAACCTTTCCCTTTGAGCATCCAATTGAGCAGGGAGAGTCATAAGTGATTCTGGGGCATTGGGCAAAGGAATGGCCCCACCTAAAAAGATTCCCGCCCCCCAAACCCTACTCTGAACGAGAATAATGTGCCCAATTCTCATAGTCCCTTCAAAACCGCACCAGTTTGCCTTTTGGTTTTCTACCACTATTTTCTATCACCTCCCAGTGGCAACTGCCGAGCCTGTCTCATAGTTGCAAACCATCCCTGCAACTGGTGAAATATCTTGTGCAGAACCCAAAGCTTGCATCTTGTATTTTCCATACTAACCGGTGAAACAGGAGGTCATCTCCCTTATTCAGTCCTTGCATGGATGCAGTTTGGAGACCAATTAGGGTAAGGCAGGGGATTGTATGGTGCACAGATCTGATTACAAGCAACCACAGCAGAAAGTCACAAAAGTTTGTACCATGAACATAGTGTGGGCAGGGGGCCTGTTCCCTTCTCAGACCTCATACCCAGCCTTCAGTCTCCCCAGCGTATGTTTAGTTGTTTATCTCACATCTATCCATGTTGTCTCCTCCAACAAGGGAAGAACATGAAACCCTCCGCAGGGGTCAGCCAACTGGGACTCACATGCCTGGTAGCCATTGTCAGAGTGATGCTGCTTTGGAAAAAGAACGGTGCCAAGAGTGGCAACTTGTTTACTGTGTGGAATTGCAAAACTGAATTCTTCCTGGCACGGTGCCTTCTGCCTCTCACTCTCCTCTTTCTGCCTGTTTCTAAGGTGCTCTGCACTTCAGAGGCTTCCCAAAAATGGTGGTGGTGGAGAATCGGATTAGTCGGTATCTTCTCACTCACGAGGCAGTGTGTTATAGGGGTTAGAGTGTCAGATTAGCACATGGGAGAGGTGGGTTCGAATCCTCACTTGGCCATGAAGAAGAGATTGGATTTATACCCCACCCTTCACTGCCTGAAGGAGTCTCAGAGTGGCTTACAATCCCTTTCCCTTCCCCTCCCCACAACAGACACCCTGTGAGGTAGGTGGGTCTGAGAGAGCTTTCTCGAGAACTACCCTTGAGAGAACAGTTCTGAAATAACTTGTAACTGACCCAAGGTCACACCAGCAGCTGCACGTGGAGGAGTGCTTCAGGATTCAGTCGTCATAAGCTGCTTTGGACAGATTATTATTATTATTATTATGGAAACGCAAGGTAAAATATTTTTAATAAAATAAATAAGAAAGGCTTGACGCTGCTGTCTCCTAACACGTTTTAAAACAACGTGTTTTTGTTATCCACAGCTAAATTAAAACTCACACATTTACAGTGTACAACAGTACAGTACTCATTAACAGTACAAGAAGCAGATACTGGGTGAAGGGTTCCTATCACAAACCCTGGAGGATTGTGGGAGATTCTTTCCAAAACGTGAAAAATGCTGGTATCCCCCCACCCCACCTCCAATATTCACCATGCTGAAACATGGAAAATAGACTTGGTTTTCAAAACTGTGGCATTAAAAGACCTCCTTTAAAAAGAATACCTTTTCTCCTTCTTGGCCCCCCCCCCCCCACATTAGCAGAAAACAGACATGAGAAATCACTGCAATTAGGACAGAGAGGGTAAAGTGACAAGTTTTGCTGCAAATTATTTCCCAAAGGAAATACTTATATGAGTCTGTTTCTCCTCAGTGTTCGTGATCTTCTGTTTTCCTGTTTCCTTTCTGGAATTTTCTCATCCATTCCAGAAGGCGGCACTGAAATAAAAGCAGGATTTCTACAGGATCCAGTCCACTTTCTCTGGCATAAGACAAGAGGGAGGAGGAGGAGATGTATGCTGGCTATTTTGACAGGCACTGGTCCAGTTGCAACTGGCAAGCCACAGAAATGTCTGACAGAATGACAGATTGATGGCGCCACCTGGAGGCCACATGCACAATAAGAGGTTGAGGAAAAACCCCAGGGAAGTGACTCAGTGAAGACAGAAGAGAGTGTCCCACATCACCCAAAGCGAGTCATTTTTTTTTGAAACGGAGATGAACACCGCAACCCTAGAGTCGGACTTGACTGGCTTTCGAGCAAGGGAAACCTTTACCTTTACCTAGGTGATTGTAGGGTGCACAGATCTGATTACAAGCAACCACAGCAGAAAGTCACAAAAGTTTGTACCATGAACATAGTGTGGGCAGGGGGCCTGTTCCCTTCTCAGACCTCATACCCAGCCTTCAGTCTCCTCAGCGTATGTTTAGTTGTTTATCTCACATCTATCCATGTTGTCTCCTCCAACAAGGGAAGAACATGAAACCCTCCGCAGGGGTCAGCCAACTGGGACTCACATGCCTGGTAGCCATTGTCAGAGTGATGCTGCTTTGGAAAAAGAACGGTGCCAAGAGTGGCAACTTGTTTACTGTGTGGAATTGCAAAACTGAATTCTTCCTGGCACGGTGCCTTCTGCCTCTCACTCTCCTCTTTCTGCCTGTTTCTAAGGTGCTCTGCACTTCAGAGGCTTCCCAAAAATGGTGGTGGTGGAGAATCGGATTAGTCGGTATCTTCTCACTCACGAGGCAGTGTGTTATAGGGGTTAGAGTGTCAGATTAGCACATGGGAGAGGTGGGTTCGAATCCTCACTTGGCCATGAAGAAGAGATTGGATTTATACCCCACCCTTCACTGCCTGAAGGAGTCTCAGAGTGGCTTACAATCCCTTTCCCTTCCCCTCCCCACAACAGACACCCTGTGAGGTAGGTGGGTCTGAGAGAGCTTTCTCGAGAACTACCCTTGAGAGAACAGTTCTGAAATAACTTGTAACTGACCCAAGGTCACACCAGCAGCTGCACGTGGAGGAGTGCTTCAGGATTCAGTCGTCATAAGCTGCTTTGGACAGATTATTATTATTATTGTGGTAAAGCAAGGTAAAAAAATTTTAATAAAATAAATAAGAAAGGCTTGACGCTGCTGTTTCCTAACACGTTTTAAAACAACATGTTTTTGTTATCCACAGCTAAATTAAAACTCACACATTTACAGTGTACAACAGTACAGTACTCATTAACAGTACAAGAAGCAGATACTGGGTGAAGGGTTCCTATCACAAACCCTGGAGGATTGTGGGAGATTCTTTCCAAAACGTGAAAAATGCTGGTATCCCCCCACCCCACCTCCAATATTCACCATGCTGAAACATGGAAAATAGACTTGGTTTTCAAAACTGTGGCATTAAAAGACCTCCTTTAAAAAGAATACCCTTTCTCCTTCTTGGCACCCCCCCCCCACATTAGCAGAAAACAGACATGAGAAATCACTGCAATTAGGACAGAGAGGGTAAAGTGACAAGTTTTGCTGCAAATTATTTCCCAAAGGAAATACTTATATGAGTCTGTTTCTCCTCAGTGTTAGTGATCTTCCGTTTTCCTGTTTCCTTTCTGGAATTTTCTCATCCATTCCAGAAGGCGGCACTGAAATAAAAGCAGGATTTCTACAGGATCCAGTCCACTTTCTCTGGCATAAGACAAGAGGGAGGAGGAGGAGATGTATGCTGGCTATTTTGACAGGCACTGGTCCAGTTGCAACTGGCAAGCCACAGAAATGTCTGACAGAATGACAGATTGATGGCGCCACCTGGAGGCCACATGCACAATAAGAGGTTGAGGAAAAACCCCAGGGAAGTGACTCAGTGAAGACAGAAGAGAGTGTCCCACATCACCCAAAGCGAGTCACCCAGAAGCCTCCCAGAGGTGGCAGAAAAGACCAACAGAAAAGGAGCCATTCTGGGCACACGACGGGAATGTCTTGTATCTGCAACCCTATGGCACCATCATAGCTCAGTATATGGCCTCGTCCATGTTGTCGTCACTATCGCCCCCAAAATCTTCGCCGTTGTCAAAGTAGGACATGATATAATCCGTCTCCTATACAGGCAGAAGAGAAAGAGAAAAGTATTTCACTTCATTTAGACCTTGCTTTTCTGCTAGGCTTGCGCTCAAAGTGGCTTACAGTTCAAATCCACGATAATACATAATTTATGTAAGAGTTACCAGAGAACCAAATGGCAGAACTCTGCCTAACTGATGGAACAGGATAGGGCAGTGATGGCGAACCTTTTAGAGACCGAGTGCCCAAACTGCGACCCAAAACCCACTTATTTATCGCAAAGTGCCAACACGGCAATTTAACCCGAATACTGAGGTTTTACTTTAGAAAAAACAACTCATACATTAATGGAACAGGATAGGGCAGTGATGGCGAACCTTTTAGAGACCGAGTGCCCAAACTGCGACCCAAAACCCACTTATTTATCGCAAAGTGCCAACACGGCAATTTAACCCGAATACTGAGGTTTTACTTTAGAAAAAACAACTCATACATTAAGATGATCCAAACAAAGTAAGGAAAGCAATACCAAATGCTTTCATTTACTTAAAATTATTTGGCAGAGAATTCGACACTTTAATGATGGTCTGGGCCTGGCTGG